ATAGCGATGATGAGACGCATGCAGGTCTTATGGTTGGTAGCTGTTGCAGTTTATTATCTCTTTATTCCATTATTTTTGTTCGATATGTTGGTTTATAATGTCATCGACTTACTCGCAAATTGACCTACGTTTCTTGCAGATATTTTCCCCCCATCGACGGTTTCCACCTTTCCCCGATGGTCTCCATCAGATCGATATTGTGCCAACGTTGTCGCTTCTGCTCGGTCTTCCGATTCCATTTTCTAATCTCGGCGTCGTGATAGAATCTCTTTTTCCGACTAATCTGACCAAACAAGCCATCGCTCTGAATTACGAACAAGTTAGAAGGTATTGTTCCATTAATAATTGACCTCTTATATTAACACCATCAGTACTCGCGAAAACTTTCTCTGTGTAACTATTGAAGTCGGCGTCGCGCACGTCGTATTTCCTTCACTTCAATCACATCTGTTTAAGGTTCGCCACGTCCTATGCAGCTGCTAATCCATCTTTTGAAATTTCTGAAATCACTCGCCACGACACGACGGAAACTGCAGAACAGCTGGGGTGCGTTTTATGGCGTTCAGTGTTTTTACTTCCTTTCAGAATAATGGGATCTGTTATATTTGACGTGGTTTCCTTGTATTCTTTGATTTATGTATGGGTATGATTGTGGTGGGTTTGTTTGATTACTTAGGTGCAAATGCGAATTTCAATTCGCGCCTTAGCAATACATATGGTGCCCTTTCTAGTTCACGATTTCTAGTGGAAATGGTCTTCTTCTGAAGATCTCTCAGAAGTACTATAAACTGTAGACCGGAATCAACCGTAACGTAGTCAAAATTTGTGGGATACAGTTTTGACTTGGAAGGGCTTACGGCTCGCTCCCTTCCACAACTGTGGCGTTTACGTAATACGTATTTGGTTCTGGTAGCGATGCCCACTCTTTTCACAACTACGACACGTTCTATGGGCCTTAATAGGACCCCCTTTTCAAAAATCACAAATCTGTAGATGCCACTCAAGAAAAAATTTAATTCCATCCTCATAGGCGTGTCGATGACTGCCATGTGAACATGATAATATGATGTATTTCCTGTATTTCCTTAAATGGGGTTGAATTCTTACTAACCATAATTTATTTTCTACCCGTTCGTTTAACTCATAATGAGCAGCAATTGCACAGCATGTCTTCAGACAGCTTTTATGAAAACCACAATTTTGAATTTTCTGAATTCAGGACAATTCGCCGTCTTCAAGCTTCTCTTCGTGCGGCATGGACACAATTCGACCTTACGCTAATGAGACTGGGATTGTTTTGCTTCGTAGACACGCTGCTGTTCACAATCTCAGCTCGTCCGTTGACCACAGCGCAATCCATTGTAAGATCTGGATGCCTTCTTCTTCAGCTGTCTGTCATCTTCGGTGGTTCGAATGAGAATCCAGCTGTGTCGTTGCTACTGGTACATCTTTCAGTCGTTTGTGTTCACGATATTTCTGACAGTGAGATACTTCTTCTTTATTGAATTTTTTTCA